TCTCTCTCTCTCTCTCTCTCTCTCTCTCTCTCTCTCTCTCTCTCTCTCTCTCTCTCTCTCTCCTCCCCCCCCCCATATGTAGCCTGATGCAAACCCGGGCAGAGTTTCCCTCCAAGCCTTCAAACATAAAAAAGAGGAAAAACTCAACGTTGACTAAACGGTAATGGTGTGATCTCTCAGGTTGCATCACAGAGTTGCATCACTGCGCTCTGCGGATTCCTGCAACCTGTCAGAGGCCGGCACTGAAACAGGAAGAGTGTGAACCCGAACAAAATAAATAAGTAAAACGACTTGAGGAGAAAAGGAAGAAGAAGACTGCAGGGCGAATCTGGAATCAGACCTATAAATAAGTGGGAGTTAAGTAGCTGCTGTTCCGCCTTGGCTGCAGGGTTAGTGAGGTTACTCGAATGACATCATCCGCGGGCCCTGGTCTCGATTGGATCTTTGCCTGGGAGTCAATCACGGCAGGAAGTGGAAGGAGATACAAACACTTGCCGCTCTCCTCGATCAATGCAAAAGTGTGGATGTTGAGGGAAATGCCATCACGTCTCTTTCACAGCTAAATACGGGGAGGGAAACTTGTGCACTCTCACACAGAGCAGATGCACGATTATTATATCCAGTAAGGAAAAAAATCACAAGTGGAGTAAACCCATTAAGGAACTGATTTGGCTTGATGCGTAAAACAGCAGCTGAACTAAAGAACCTCTCCAAAAAAACATAATGAAATTCAGTATTTTATTTCTACAACTCTAAATTGTGGATGAAATGTATAAAAATCACAAGAAGGAAAATGATCCAGAATTGGAGGCATCGGGAGCGCGCACATGAATATATATGTATTGACATAAACCGCGTGCGCTTGCGTGTGAGGAGGAGAGAGGGAGAGACGCTGAGGAGAGATTTTTACTCATTGTAATGCACACAACGACCTGCCCTCTTTTGAAAAAAAAAAAAAGGAGAGAGAAAGCGCAGCCATGCTTTGCAGAGGCTCCAGCGTCGCTCTCATTGGTGGCACCAGCCTCTCTGCCAAACGGAGCCTGCGCGCGCGGGTCTGCGTCCACGCAAACCGGGAATACAAGAGACGATCGCAAAACAACAAAGATCCGCAACGAAAAGCTTTAAATCCAGAGCGACACCAGCAGGATAACTAGGGCCGCTTTGTGCCGGGGGTGTCCACCATATGGCGTGGAGCCGATCGGGGGGGTGAGTATCTGCGGCTTCTCTCTACCCCCGAACCTTTCAATCGATTATTAAAGAACAGAATCCGTGCTTGTTTCCCCGCGACCACCGGCGAAACGGCAGTAAAATAAGAGGGGAGCGTGGTTCTGTAGGGACATGATGTGCTTTCAGCACGCTGCACTTGCCATTGTTAATGTGGGTTTCAGGGGAGGGGGAGAAAAGCACTTCCCTTAATAATAATAATAATATATGTTTTAAAAGCAGCAGAAAGCAGCAGCTCATATTACATCATTGTGAATCCGCATCAGTGAGAAGAGAAAGGGAAAAAAAAGACGGTGGATTTCTGAGCCGCATCGTTTCTGGCTGCGCGGTGCTTGAGGACAATAGGGGTCGTTTTTCCCCCTCCTCGCTCTCTCACCC